GGAAACCCAAGGAGGGGTCGCTATGAGTCGGGGCCGACTCAACGGCAAATAACAACGACAACAACAACACCCTGAATGCATTCCTGAACCTGCATTGTAGCCTGTTACTTCCCTAATGAACTCCATAATTGTTAGTATTGTCTTTGAGTTCTGTGTAACCATTGCAACAAATTATGGAACCCAACAGAGAAATAGTGAGTGCTATAGGAGGGAGGGCTGGTGTCGGAATTGGTAAAAGGCTGGAGGGTGGTGGCATATCTGGCCTCATAGGAATAAAGCTTGAGCTGCTGATGTTGATTCTATCTTCCTCTTGTGACATTAGAGGAGGTCAGAAGACGTCACTTTCATGTTCTTTTTGCATTTTCTTTGTTAGTTTTACAGAGTATAAAGTCAAACATGGTGAGATGCTTTAAGACACTTTCAAATAATTTCTTTGTGGAAAGTGTTATGGCTGAACTGTGTCCCTCAAAATATGTGCTGTAAACCCTCAGCCCTCTACCTGTGGTTCTGAGCCCATTTGGGGGTGGGTTTTCTTTGCTATCTTAAGAGGATTAGTGTCGAGTGTGTTCGAAATCAATCTCTTGAGATCTCAAAGAGCAGATTAAGGAAGCAGAGATGGAGAAGACAAATGCCATGCCCCATGAAGATCACCATGATGATCAAAGAATGGAAGCCAACGAGACAAGGGCCTTCTCCCAGAGCCGACAGACAGAAAGCCTTCCCCTCGGGCCAGCACCCTAAATTTGGGCTTCTAGCCTCCACTACTATGAGAAAATAAATCTTTGTTAAATCCCGCTGCTTGTGATTTCTGTCAGAGCAGCACTAGATAACTAAGATACCAGGAAACAACACCTGATTGTTCCTTCTCGGAATGAACACCTCCATTTCACTGAATCTAAGAAAATAAACTTTATGTACATATTTTAGGCATGTCATCCCAATCAAACTTTCCCCCACCATTTACCTATTTTGTCCCCTTTTAAAATGAGGACATGTAAAATAGATGGATTCTGGGGAAAAAGGAAGCCTGAGTATCTGATGCTGCATAATCCACTCAACATAAACCTACAGCTTACGAATCATTGATTGTTATGGATTCAAGCATATTTTTGTTTGCTTATATACAATGCTCTTTTTTGCCAGAAGACAATGAATTAGAGAAGAAGGGCATTTCAGCTTATTTTAAGTTTGGCCACCTCAAGCACTTATGTTAAGCAGATCATCAAAAGAAGTGTGTGGAGAGTCCACATATCTTCCAACACAAATACCTAGATGTGTATTTATACACCTTGGGGAAATGAGTTGCTGGGCCTATAGGCTTAGGACCATAGTCACGGGGGACGTTGAGGTCAGTTCACATAATACAGTCCACAAAGACATTGTTCTACATTCTACTCTCGTGAATAACGACTTGGGTCTTAAAAGCTGTGAGCAGCCATCTAAGGTGCAACCATTGGTCTCTTCTCATCCAGAGCAAAGAACAGTGAAGAAAATCAAAGAGGCATGGAAACAATTAACCCAAGAGAATAGTGGACCACAGAACTTCAGCCTTCACTAAGAGACCAGAAGAATTAGATGGTGCCCAGCTACCACTGCCAATCACTCTGAAAGGGATCACTTTAGGAGATGCTAGATAGAATGGGAGAAAAATGTGGAACAAAGCTCCAAATCATAGAAAATACCAGGCTTACTGGTTTCATAGAGACCAGTGGATCCCCAAGACTATGGCTCTTAGATACCCTTCAAGCCTCATCCTGAAAACACTGGATTCAGCCCTGTGGCTCAAACAATACACAGCCCTACGAGGTAAACAACACCACCAGGGAAGTACACACTCCTTAGAACAAACAACCATAAGAGATGAAGAGGGTGCGTTTGCCCAGGGATAAAGCTCAGAAAGCAGAAATGGATGGGAAAGAAGATGAAAAGAAATGGTAACCACAGGGAGGAAGTGACAAGAGTGCTGTGACATTGTGGGGTTGCAATCAATGTCACGCACAAAAAAATGTGTACGAACTATTAAATGGAAAACCAATTGGCTCTGTAAACTTTCACCCAAATAACAATAAAACGTTTGGGGGGAAAAAAAAAGATGAATTCTCAAAAACCACTATCAACACAATACCTGTTAGTGTTTTCCCTTTTTTCCTGTAGTAAACAGCAAAGCTGACAGCGGCAACCACAGCCACAGACGCGAAGAGCAGGAGAATAACTAG